TTTTTAGATCAATATGACTAACTGGTTTTGTCACATTTAAAGTCGTTTTTTTTGTGAAATACAATCTGAATTATTATTATTTTTTAATAGCTTGTAATGGCAACCCGGCCTGCGTTAGTTTAATTTGATTCGGGGTTTATAAAGGAAAAAAGAGGTTTTATGTTTTTTTTTTGTTTTTAAAAGTTGACAGCCCATTTATTAAAAGCGGTAATTGTATAGCCTGTAGACGTGGCCGCATCGTCGACATCACAAGGTATACTGTTACATCCATGGGATACTAACATGCATTGCCATTTCAGTGATTATGTTGTAAAAAATTAGGTCCATACTAGCTTGTATATTAAAGTTCATGATAAACTTTATTTAAAATATCATATATTTTAAATAAAGTCCTGATTATTATCGTCGATTTGCCTATTTGTTTTTTTTTTTTTCTGAATTTAAATATGAAAAATGTTTTTATAATATTAATATTTTAAAGGACTATAAAATAAAAAAAGAATGCCAATAATCTTTATACTTATAATCTTGTTTATAAGTTCTTTTATATCGTTTTTTTTTATTTGTTTTGTTCTGAATAATGCTTATAACAGGCATTTGCAGTTGCACCCATTTGCATTTTTACTGCATTTTGTTAAGAGAGGTACTGGCTGAAAACCAGCGCTGTGCAGCTGTACATATTGCACTGGGACACTCGCAGCATCAGTTGAGCCAGTTCCTTTTGCCTAATATGAGACACTTCTTATATATATAATATTTTTATATTTTCTATTGTAATTGTATTCTTTTGGCAATTAATATTTTAAATAGAATAGCTATTTTATAATGTTAAAAAGTTTCCGCTCCCGCTGTCGCTTATAACTGTATCGTTGTGAACAAGTTGCATGTAGATACAGTAGACTGTAGCCATAGCCACACCGCCGCCCCCGCACTGCAAGTAAAACAACATCAAACTAATGTACATACGTCTCGTGTAGAAATCAACTTGGGAACTGTAACTGTCATTTGACTTTGTGTTTGTGTTCAATCAAAACAAATTGTTGTTTTTAATTGAGTCCTTTAAAAAGATATAGCACGTATATTTGAAATGCGCTATTGGACTCTCCTTAATTCTCTTATTGCTTAGCAGCCGGATTTTACTTATAAATTACGGATTTTAATGATAAATTAGATAGATTTCTTTTTTAATGTTGTTTAAATTTTTTAAGTTCGTAACATGAATGTAAGGCGCACTACACATTTAGGGAAACTGTAAGTGAAGTGAGCAATTTATTTTTAATCTAACTGATCCGATCAACTTAGTACCGTATTTATTTCTAAATTTCTCTTTATAGATAAATCGATGAACAATCCGGATGCAAAGTAATATAATTTCCCTCATCGTTCTTTCTTACTGATAGAAATAGATTTTTAAGTTCGTTTTGTTTTACTAATTTTGGGTCACTGCTACACACTTGGTGAAAACATATTTCCATATTTCATCTTTTGTTTTATATTTAAGAAAAATGTAAATAATTTGATTGTATAAACTCATTTGTTAATTTACGTGTATCATAAATGGCTCAAATAAAGTGTTTATCTATCTATCTAATTTAACAGAGCGGATTTTTCAGTCCATTCTGTTCTACTAGTGAAACTAACTCGTAGATTTATACGGATAGAATCGTAAAATAAAATTAATTTCCGAATGCATCCTATTCAACAGGTACGAACACTATTTTCTTTGCAATTAATATTTTTGATAGTTAGTGATAACCAGTAACCAACGCGTACAGACATGAACATCACAAAAAACTAAAATGTTTTTTGGAATACTAAATAGTATGTACGGAAATGGACATAGACTAATTCTTGTCTCGGTTAGTCGAGGGTAAAAGCTAGTATTCTTATAAATTTTAAATTATTTATTATATGTTATTTACTATTTTAAGTTCCATTAAATTCCGTTAATTTTACATAAACTTCAATGCTGAGTATTGTTTTTTTTTTCTAAATAATTTTCTATCTCTTCTACAACAGTACAAATGGTTAAAGTGGTATATGGACTGAGGAGTAACATGTTCCATAAAAAAAACATTGCAATCCTAAATTTTACGTATGATCCGTAACAAATAACTGGCCCTATACTCTGTTATGTCCATGATACTGCTCATGTCTATAGGCGACGGTTACCACTTTCCATCAGGTGAGCCGTCAGCTTGTTTGCCATTCTAAGTTGTATAAAAAAACCCAACAATAACATAGTCTGCTGACAGTCATCATTATATCAGTCTTTAACAGTTCATTGCTGAACACAAGCTTCCCCCATATAGGCAGGTTTTACCTGCCACGTTTTGCAGGTGCGTTGACAACCGCAGTTAAACTTTAGTGATGTTTTAAGAGGGATCCTGTTGCCCATCCCTCGACCGTTAAGTTCCCTTAATCGAAATTATAAAAGGAAAAGGTTTTTTTTAATGGATGATAATGGAATGGTAACTCCGCCTGCGCTATCGGTATACGCTGGCGGAGCACCAGTGAGGGATGACAGGTGATGATAAAAGCAGGTCAGTTAGCCCATCGTGACGAATTAACCACGATGGTTTCCAGGGGGAACCGCGTGGAGGTCAACCTGGTATTGCTGGCAATTGGTTAGTTAGATCCATTACTAACAATCCCTTTCCCCCTGGAAAGGAAGGGGTGGCCCATTCTATGCCGGGACCACAAGACAATACTTAGGAATATTCAACTTTATTAATTTCAGTTCCAAACTCAAACTGCAGGTTTGAAGTTGTGAAGTTTGAGACTGCAATGTAATTGTAGTCATACATCATGCGTCTGAGAATTCTCAGTTTCAAAGAATACTAAACTTTCGCTAAGTTCAGCCAGAGGAAGTTAAAAATGCATTTCCAACATTTATCTGCTGCAGAAGATAGCAATCCTATATTCTTTTGTCTCAAGAGTAAAGCGTACAATGCATTAGAGATATTACGTAATGAAACCATTGATAGTGCAGCGGTTAAGATGTTGCCTCACCTTCCGATGGTCGCAGATACGATCCCGACGTAATATTTTTTTTATGCAACTTAGAATGGCAAACAAGCTGCCGGCCCACTTGATGGAATTTTTTTTTTATACAACTTAGAATGGCAAACAAGCTGACGGTCCACCTGATGGAAAGTGGTAACCGTCGCCTATAGACATGAGCAGTACCATGGACACACATACTGTTTCGCCCATGATACCCCCCATGCGTTGCCATTCCTGAGGACTCAGGTGTTATTTCTCTGTACCCAGTAAATTCACGCTATATCCCACCCTTCAAACCGAAACACAGTTATGCAAACACAACTGCTTCACGGTTGAAACACGAATGGGACAACCAAACCAAACCAAAACCAAAAGTGGTAACCATCGCCCATTGTATTTCCAGTAGACAAGGCTAATGTCGATACCACTCTAATATCAAGTAAACATATGGCCCGTCTGTAGTAAACGGGGTTACCGTAGTCTATAGACGCCTGTAACACCGTAGTCACGCGTGCGTTGCCGACCCTTGAGAAATCTTATACCGTTCTATTTGAAGAACCCCATACACATAAACATACAACACAAAATAAATAAAACATTATTACATCGAAACTATGGGAAATGAGTAAGTAAAATATTTAATTCAATGTTCAAACGTCTATATATATTTTTAAAAAGAATGACAATTTTCAATTTATACTGCGCGCGCAACCTCGCATGCGCTGTTATTCATAATTTATTTTTCTACAGAAATTCAAAAGGTTTAGATATTTATAAAGGTTTGTTATATATACAATATATATATACGTCACAAAACAAATAGGTACAAATACAATTAAATTTTCTCATTGAAAAATTCCTATAGTGTATATATAATAACTTTTTGTAATTAAATATTTTTTAGTGCTATTTTAAACTTTTTTAGAATCATCCTCACTTTTTAAGTTCATTGCTATTTTATTGTAAATTTTTATTGACATTGCGTAAGGGTTTGAATGGAATAATTGTAGCTTCGAGAATGGTCTTGCTAATCTTTTTTTTTTTTTACAACACAGGGGGCAAACGAGCATGCGGCTCACCTGATGGTAAGTGACTACCGCCGCCCATGGTCACCCACAACACCAGCGGCATTGCAGTTGTGCTGCCGGACTTTTAAAAAGGAATATGCTCTTTTCTTGAAGGTTATGTAATCTACATGGCGGTCGCAATGTGTGAGGGCGGGTATTGTTCGCGACATTATAGTTTATATAGTTATAGCGATATTTTATAGTTATTTCTAATTACAGATTGTTAGCATAAGTTATTAGTGTTTTAATCGTGTAAATTGTTACTTTATAGGTTGTTTATAGAATGTATGTTTTCTTATAGTTTGCAAGGGAAATAAAACATACACTATGTCGAGTCCTTATTGCCCATAATAGAAATAAGGAAAAATTTTGAAATAATAGTCATAAGAATGTTTGTATTGTAAATAAATAGATGCCAAAAGGTGCCGCTCCGAAGGGTCGCGCGTCTCTTTCCCACTCACCGGAACGAGAAGGAACTCTTCTGAGCGGAACTAGGAGCTTCAAAGTAAAACCTATCGTTTCTCTCTCTCCAGCCTGATCCATCGCCCAAGAACCCACGCCGTACAAGCGTGTCAACGAGGTGGTCCGCACAGGTATATTGTGGAAATATATATAACCAATATATAGATATTGCTGTAACATCCATCTCATTACCCATACCTAGTTTGTAGCGGTGTTTACACCACCCAACTATAATACAATTCAATATTGCTTATATTATTTTTAAAAGGCCAGCAGCACACCTGCAATGCCGCTGATGCTGTGGGTGATCATGGGCGGCGGTAGTCACTTACCATCAGGTGAGCCGCATGCACGTTTGGCCCCTGTGTTGTAAAAAAAATTCTGCATTTTCAACCAACATAAAAAAAGGATATTGTTAATTTGATTCCATCGTTTATAAACCGATTTGGAAAATGAAACAAATGATTAAGTACTTAACAAACACTTTAATTATATATTTATATATAACAATGATTATAAAAACAACATAATCGACTGTCTGTATGTAACGAACGGTCTGCGTGCTCCATCTCTACTTAATTACATGTCAACATGCAGTGCTTAATAATATCGAAAAATATAAACAGCAAAAACTGGGCCAAGTTCTTTTGCGTTTTTTCTTACACATATTCTACTTATTGAAATAATATTATAATTTAACATTTTATAATATAAATAAATATCTAAATTGCCAACAATTATTAAGAGAGAACAGTTAAATAATTATGTACTAATATTAAAACTAAAAGTAAATTGAATTGATCTTCCGCGTATTATTCAGGTGTGAGTTTTTATATAGCTTATAACAGAACGAACTGTATATTCGAATGCTGAAACATCGTGAGACTTAACAGCTTACAAACTGATTATGTAGAGGGGTTAATAGCCCCATTTCTAACGTTATACCCCATGAGTTCAACCTTCATGCGGTTCCCTGGAAACTATCGTGATTAATTCTTATAGAATTCGTCAAGATGGACCAAAATTATTTCCTAATTTGACAAGGAGACGTTTAAAATAATTGTTTAATCTCACAAATTTTATCAATCAGTTCCGACTATCATTGTATATGTACCACTTTCTATTATTCTCTATTTAAGTTGAAACAAGGTCTTGCAATTATACAACAATTTTGATATCCGAATATTAGGTTTTTATTCAAGGTCAGTATTCAAACGTTATTCGAATAATACATAAGAAATGTATATATATATATATATATATATATATATATATATATATATATATATATATATATATATATATATATATATATATATATATATTTGACTTTCTAAATATACTATAATGTTTAGACTAGGCCACACCAGTTTATCCTAGAGTGTGCGTATTTATATTGGCACAAATTAATTTGGACTAGCCCAAACTGGTTTATCCTATCAGGCTTAGGACAAATCAGATTGGACTAGGCTATACTAGTTAATCCTATCGTGTATAGGAAGAACTAGTTTAGCCTAGGCAAAACTAGTTTGTCCTATAATCGGGTTTGGCCGGTAACATATATATATATATATATATATATATATATATATATATATATATATATATATATATATATATATATATATATATACGAATACATTTATTTAGTACTTTCTCATATGAGGGAATTCAATGGACATGTTATAAAATAAGTTACAGAATATGAGCTCTTGTTTGGTAAGTATGATCTCGTCAACTCAGTCAAATGCATAGAAAAATATGGCCGAATCATGGAAAATGATTTTAAAGATCAGAGAAATGGAATGATAACACTAAGCATAATAAAATGTCCATATGTTAAGAACCCACGCTATAAGAGAGACGCAACTACCGAGAACATTTTAAGTATTCTCTGTAGGAGAGTTATTGTTTAGTGAAGAGACTCAAATAATCTTTCTCCTGAGACATCTTCTTAGACTTAACTGAGACCTTTTCGTTGTAAAAACAAAACACCAGAAACTCGGAAACTTACAGACTCAGTATTTGCTCAAATTCGTTATGAAATACATAGGTACGTTTTTTTTTTCAGACTTATTGAAAACATATTTGCGTGTATCGTCAGATTATTTTATATGCACCTCCGGCATATCAGAGATATAACAAGTGTCATAACTTCGTTTCCTAGTTAAAACCACCGTAGCGGCATCAACTGCAATTTGGTATCTTGAAAGATATACCTATTTGAGAACAATGGTCTAAGATTATAATGACAACTGAATATTGCCTCGCAATTCCTGTCGATCTTAATTCTTTCTGAATTATGTAAAGGAAATTGTAAAAACGGATAAATTCAGATATCTGATTACGAGAAAACTGGGAAACAGACTAAGTCCAAAAACTGACCCTGGTAACGATTCCTGGGATTCAATCAAAAGGTAAAAACTTGTACTAAAAGTATACCTACAATTATTTTTCCAAAGACTGAAAATCAATGATATATTGAAACTTAAAGAATTTTAATTCTAAAATAATATTCTAATAACTCGAATATTCAATTGCAAGACCTAGTTAATACATTTTGGCATAACAAAAATCTACCTTAGGCCTTTTTTATAGGAACTATATACTTAAATAAATTTATTATTTATAAGAGGATTCAGAAATCCATTTAAATAATAATACATAAAATACACATCTATTAGAATAAAATTGAGAATAGACTATATTTTTAAATATAAATATTATCTTTTATGTGAAAACATAATTTTATACATCATCTGGGTGTGTTTGAGTTTATCCTATATAATTATATTCTAAAATAATTTAATAAGCCTTAAAATATTTTATCAATGTCGTCTAATTGTTCTTTGAATGTAACTATACAAAAATCAAACTATTGTCTGTATTAAAATTTTTCAGTAAAAATTACCAAAATACATTTACTAAAATAAATTATCTCAAATTATTCTAATTAAATATACAATATATTTAATATGCAGCGTAACAGAAAATATGTCTCTCAATATTTTCAAGCGGACGGCTTTGCAAATTAAACATCGTCAAATTAAGCATCGATTCGTTCGTTATTCCAGATCTCATTTATTTACTACGCGATTACCGATTAAATAAACAGCTGTAATAAATTGAACTTTACTTATCACCGCCGTGCATCTAAATCGGCTTTTTGGATGTCTACGTCGACTTAGGCGAAAACGACTAAATGTATTTCAGAATTTCGATTTTGGAATTATAGAAATAATAATAAATTGGGAAGAATTGTATTAGATTATCAAAATAAAATTGCATATATTTAATTATTTACATCAGCTTCACTCGTGTATTAACTTCAGGATTGCTCGACTAGTTTCTAACTGCATAAGAATCAAGCCCATGTAAATACTTATAATACTGTAGATACCATTTTGAATTTGTCCAAACTAATGTGTTGATAGGTTATCGATTATTCAAAATCTAAAATCTGAAACAAACTCAACCGTTTCCTATCCAGTGTCGACGTTATCAATATATAATCTATTCATACAAATAAATATTTCTGTATCAAATAATAAGCATTATAAGATTTATTTACACTATCAGTTCGTTATAGCTACAAAATCTATAATACACGAATACAATAAAAGAATTACTAAACACGCACGACATTTAGAGAGAAGGAATATACTATTCATATTGCCATTTCCACATTTCTATATAAATAAATGGTGAAACTATGATGAAATATTGCAAAAGTATCAACTATGCAGTTTTGCTCAAAGTAGATTTTCTGCCGTACAGAAATATCCATGTTAAGACTATTAGGTGACTGCATCATTAAAACTGTATGGAGTGTTTATATAAGACTAAATTTGTCTATACTCTTAATAACATAGCGTCCTTTACTCCGTAAATACTAGTTCCTAAATGTTTAAAAAATTATTGTTCTTCCTGTTTCGTTTCATAATAAAAGAATTAAAAGTTTTTTAAAAAAAGACAGATAACGAGTGTGCTCAGTTCTTGGAATTAAAGAGCTGAAGTTGTCAATTGCGGACTACAATTCACTCTTTGAAAGCAAGCAAAATCCAATTAGTTGGACTGCCAAGTTGAGTTTAAATAAAAACGGTACAAAGTAATATTATTCTAACTAAAGGACACGAGCTTAGCGTAATGAAAAGTAAGATAACCGTGTCAAATAGAACAATAAAAGTTGAATTTACTAACTCCAAGAAGTTTATTATTAAATTTGTAGTTCCTTTAATAATTATTAAATTTGTAGATTAAGAGCAATATATTGGCATCATTTTTTTCATTTTCATAAAATCTGGGTCTTGAGGCATTAAAATTTGCAAAAGTTAAAAAAAAATAAAAAAAGGGATTTTCAAAAATTATAAAATAGCATAGATTTCATATTATGTTACTGATATTGGAAACAGTAATATCAATAGTATTAGAATATATAGAATTTTACAATTGAGTAATATATATAACCATAAAGACTAGTTTTGTCTTAAATATACGGGCATCTATCGCCACCTCATTTATTTTGAAAGCGATCAGATTCTGTATTATGGTTATTAAGATTACGTGTGGAGCTTACAATGTAGATTGAATAGTAATTGCAAGGTTAAATGAACAGAGATCATCAGAATTTATACTTTCTTGACATATATAAGTATAAGTAAGCATATGATTGATCTTATACATATATAAGGACATGAGACATATACAGAAGTAGTGTAGATCTTCAACTATGTAAATGATATAGGTAGTAATCATTATTATAAAATTTATTTATTAATAAAATCTAGATGTTAAATCTGTATTTGTTAATTAACAAATTTTATATATCTTAAAAAAAAAATAGATATTTTTAAATAATAATCCATATAATGACAAATAAAAATACAAAGAGTCATGATTACTTTTCACTCTAAGGTTGTCATTATCAAGCGACTACAGGAAAGAAGTACAGTGCATAAAAAGAAAAACTCAAAATAAAACCCTATATCATGCCTCCTCGTTAGCATGGTAATAGTACGCTGTATTTTCTATGTCTCGCTTTTTTATGATGATGAAGACAAGTTCAGGAAAAAATGGAAAGTCATTTTGGCCATAAACCTATAATATAGGCCTTTACTTCAGTCAATACTTTTCTCAAATTGATTTAATTCACCAATAAAATTCGAGCAGGTTATTGGTAAATTTCATTGTAATAATTAATTTGTTAAAACTATCATTATTTGTGATTTTAACCCGAGACATGAGCTACCCAGAAGCACCATGGCCGAATTTGAATCTACAACAGCGAATGATCAAGAAGTGTTAGAGACGCTAATATGAAAAATTTAGAAAATCTACCATTAGAACAGACAATAGCGTAGAAAAACATCTACAGAAAATAAATTCGAAAACAATATATTTGGTCCGAATTCAGGCAGAAAATTTATTTTCATAATGAAAAGAGCTAGCTACGGTTAGTTGTAAAAGTTTTAAGAAGAGTGGAAAAGAGTTTAATTTCAAAGGTATCTCTTAATTACTTACAAAAAGGATAAAGGGACAGAAGATATGAAAATTTGTGAAGCTAAAATTTTTACACAAATTTCGTCATCTGGCTTGATGATATTAAAAATTACCACTAATTCTGTAAATATTTCGCCAATTATGCTACCTTTAACCCAATCGATCTAATAGCATATTAAAATTCCAACAAAAGCATCTCTGAAAATAAAGCTTACTTTTATGGCAGTAATTCCATGAATATTTCTTAATGGTGCCCACATAACTTACATGTAAATATTTATTATAATAATGTGGATTTCATTAATATATTCGATGTCAACATAGCTCATATGTTTGTGTAAATATTATATACTTATGTAGGTACCATTAATGTTACCAACTGCGCTGATATTTCACAATAATATAATAAGTTTACATATCATTAGTTCTAAGCTTGTATCTCTAATACTAATAAATATGCGTTAGTATGTATGTACAGTACTCTAAATACTAAACGATCTCTACGCGCTAATAATATTTTTTATTCTTATTTTTATTGTGATTATAACTCTACATTAACTAAGCGACCGATAATCTTGACTTGGCCTTTACACTACCGTGCACATTAAATCATATAGTTCTTTATTCATTGACATTTTTATAATTATAATAAAATTTGACAAAAAATGTCGACAAGTCGTTTGTCATTATCGATATATATTATAACTTTGATTATAATTAATAAATGTATAATAATTATTTCACCCGACCACACCCCAGTTACAATCACAATAATTCTACATAAGGTTATTATTGAACACCGTAATTCCAACAAAACTATGTTGACAACACCAATGATCTTTATGTACATCAATAAAATCATTATTACATATTCCAAAGTGTGTAATATTAAATAGATTCACATCTATTATTTATATGGCTCTGTGAAAGGGTATTACATATTGGAAGCATTAATCTTTTGATCTTACCTATATTTTTTCGACTTTTATCGCCTTTCTTCGTGTGCAAGGCTACAGTACTGAGTGTTTTATAATGCGCACCGTATATACGACCGCTGTTAAATTCATATTCTCTAAAAATATCTCTTCACATTTAAGATTTTCTAGATTAATCAACTTTCTATATAATCCCGTCGTCACAGCGTAGAAACTACTAGTAGTTTAAATACTTATTATACGCACATACGAAGACAAAACAAATAAATTGCCTATTGCAAAATTTACATATTTCTAATGTTCTATTAAAAAAAAATAACAAATCCAAAATTTTTTTATCCTTTTAAAAGAGTTTACTGTTTGTAAACGTTTTCCTAAACAAAAGGGCTAAGAAAAAAATTGGAAAATATTTTTTTTTCTTTTTGTAACTCACGTTTCTTCGAGTAAAATGTTCACTTTCACTGGTAAATCAGTTTCATTTGTAGTATACTCCCTTAAAAGGACACAAATTTTGATTTCGTTTTGTTTTAAACACGAAACCCTATCTCAGTATTGGCCGTTATAGATTCGCGTGCAATGTAATTCAAATATTTACCTTTGGAATTCGCCTACTACTTAAATTTTACTGTGGCTTACATTAGCTAATTTAAAAATAACTATATAAGACGCGGCATATCAATCGTCACACTTAATTATGTCTAATTAATGACTTGGCGCGACAACTACCTCTTAAACTAGATACAATCTATGCCATCAAAGTTTGACCGCGAATAAATACGCGTTCAAATTAAATTCAATGTACCGACGACGCGACAAAATCTAAAATTACGACGAGCGAAGCCTTCTCTAATAACATGTATTTAATTAATTTTTTTATGTGCAACATGATCTACAAATTATTACTAGAGCCAATGACAGTAACGATATATTAATTTACCATATTAAAAAAAAAAACCAACAAAATAATTGTCGTCCATGATTTAAGTAGGTCTTTAAATTATTTGCGGTGAATTTAACCCATTATCTGTAAAGACCAAGTGTAAATTATGTTATGTGAATTCGTATGAGTGGTCTACAAGTTGTAATACTTAAATTTACCTCCTTTAAGTTTATAGATCTAAAAGATCGCCTTAACCGGATGTCATTTCTCTATCTAGCTAACCATAATAATATGACCGACAAAACACCAATTTTTGTATATAGTGCAATGCACCCAATATCTTTTAAGATCATGAAACAAATTTTTGTAACCAACACTTGGATCTTCCTACTTTACAACATCATAAATACTAATACATACTTTATAATCTTTTATCTAATTTAGATCTTTATATAGCACAGCCTTCAAGGCTACATTTACGATTATTATCAATTTAAAAGATTTGAAATAGATAAAAATCTAGAGGAAGAAGAGACTTGAAAAAATCCTAAGACCTGTACATTTGAGCACATTCATTTTGTTTACAATTATTAGACGAATACAGAATTAAATCACCTTCATAATTTCCGTTATGGAAATTCCAATGTACTCAGAATATATCTAGTCAGGAATTTTAAAATACATTTTAGTCAAAAGATTCAGGTAAATACATCTTTAGTTCCAAAACATTCTCGTCCAATATTTAGAAAATGTTCCGAACCTTTTACATTTTTCTTGGTCTACTAACATTCAAGGTAGTCTCAAAAGATGAAAATTTAAAATCCTTCAATAACACCGTAAGCTTCCAAGCTGGACATCGTGAGATATAGAAGCCAGAGAGAGAAGAAAAACATGGAAGTGATGATTTTAATACAGCGTGGACCACCAAGCTCGCCTCCGATGGACTTACGTCGCCTCAACACTAGGACCAAGACTGCGAAGGCGGCTTCAGAACAATACATCGTCACGCTGAACGCGAGGCTGTTGGGAAATGAATTAAATTAGAAAACCGGTATACGGTGACTGGCAGTGGAGGTGTTTTTGCAAGTCATCATTGCCTTGCCTTTGGCCCTTTATTTGGATTTAGGGCAATTTATTTCTTTTCCATTGATCGGTAACAGCTGTTATAACTGGATTTACTTTTAAGCTTATCACGTTCCACACGATTTCTCTTTTCTTTTGTCACTTCCTCCTGTTACATATACATTCACGGATTTGTTTTTTCTAGTAAGAAAGCTTAGCTGTTATACAAATTATGCAATACAATTTAAGAACTTGATTTAAAGTACTACTTTTTAACAGGTGACAAGTTAGCTTGTTTGCCATTTTAAATATCATAAAACAGTGGCATTTTATAAACACCTATTATCATCATATCAGCCTTTAACTGTCCACTGGTGAACAAGTCTCCCCTTTTTGGCAGAGGCTTATCTTCCTCTACTGGGATTTACCAGTAGTTGCCACTCTTGGTAGGCGGATTTGCAACTGCAGTTAGATTTTGGAGATGTTTTAAAAGGGGCGCTGCTGTCCATCCCTCGCTCTCCCTTAGTTGCCTCTTACGACACCCACGGGAAAGGGGTAGCCTATTCTATGCCGGGACCACACAATTAATAATAAACACATACAAATATATTATTTTTTAAATACTTACTTGCCAGGATCCACAAGAAACTTTTCATTTCTGCTCCAATGGACGATAGCAGCCACTGTCCACGCTACGCCTATACCCAGAAAGACGTTCACAGCATTTGAACCAGTAACATTCCCCACAGATGCATCCGCGTATTTGTCTTGAATCGCCGCCACTTTACTTGCGAAAGTATCTGGTATAAAAGTATAAAATTATATCAGACAAGAAGTTAATGAATAACAATTCGAATATGATTATTGTACTACTTGATTCAACTCTAATTTTTATCACCGGTCAGTAAACATATCTTGATCACGCAGACGAAGTCGAGGGTATAAGATAGTCAATAATAATTTTCAAACTAGCTTAACATAAAAAGTAAGATATATGTATAGATTTTGAAAATATGGCCTATTTTATACTAGAAATGGGCTACAAGAGACTTCGGTAACTGGTTTTTTTTTTTTAAAAAAAGGTCTCATCATATTTTTTTCCGGACCTACAAGGCGTATATCAGCTGTTATGTGTCCACTGCTGAACATAGGCCTCCCCCATAGACTGCCATAAGGAACAGTCCTGAGCCACCTGCATTCACTGACTCCCTATAATATCCCCAACCCGCTAGTGGCAATGGGATCGAAGAAGCGTCCGTGGTTTAACCGGTCTTGTAAGAAAGCCAGATTTGCTCAGCAAGCTGCATACAAGGCTTGGATTACGGCTCGCACTAACTCTGATCCTGGAATCACTGATGCAAAGCGCAAATTAAATGCTGCTTCGAGGTCCAGTAAGAGAGTAATTGCCAGAGCCAAATTTGAATTTGTGGGCAGAATTGGTAGGCGACTATCAAGCCCTCCTTCTGGTAACCGTGCTTTCTGGTCGCTTGCTAAAGCTGCCCAAGGAAACTTTTGTCAGTCGTCTTTTCCACCACTTCGGAAACCGAATGGTAACTTGGCCTACAGTGCTAAAGAGAAAGCCGACTTATTTGGCATTCTCTTTGCCTCTAACTCGACTATGGACGAAGGTAATTCTGTACCACCTACCATCTTGTATTGCGGAAGCTCCATGCCGGAAATTACTATAACACAATGTAAAGTCCGGCGGGAGTTACTATCCTTAGATGTTCATAAGTCGAGTGGGCCAGACGGTATACCGGCAGTGGTCCTAAAGCAGTGTGCTCCGGAATTGTGTCCTGTATCAACGCGTCTCTTCACGATCTCGTACTCCACAGGGCAATTTCCTTCGACATGGAAGACCACCCTTGTACATCCTGTACCTAAAAAGGGCGATAAGTCGGACCCTTCAAATTACAGACCGATTGCGATCGCTTCCCTTCTCTCTAAGGTGATGGAGCGTATAGTTAACGCACAGCTGTTAAAATACCTAGAGGATCACGATTTATTGAGTGACCGCCAATATGGCTTTCGCCATAGTCGCTCAACTGGTGACCTCTTGGTATATCTTACGCACCGATGGGTATCAGCCATTGAGAGTCAAGGTGAGGCGCTCGCTGTCGGTCTTGATATTGCAAAGGCATTTGACCGGGTCTAGCATCGGGGTCTTCTATCGAAATTGCCCTACTATGGACTTCCCGACAGCCTTTGTAAATGGGTCGCCAATTTTTTATCCGGCAGACGTATAAAAACCGTTGTAGATGGTTGCTGCTCCGATAGCATGGATATTAACGCTGGCGTCCCGCAGGGCTCTGTGCTGTCCCCAACGCTGTTTCTGCTGCATATTAATGATATGTTAACCTTCGGTAGCATTCATTGTTATGCGGATGACAGCACCGGGGATGCCCTTTATACGGGTCGTACCAATGTCTCCCGTTCCATCGTGGAGAACAATCGTGAACAGCTTGTGTCTGAAATCGAGAGAACACTAACTGGAGTCTCTGATTGGGGACGACAAAACTTGGTCCAATTTAACCCCTCTAAGACACAAGCTTGCGCGTTCACCGCTAAAAAAAACCATTTGCTGTGGCCCCACAGTTCCAAGGCACGTCTCTTAACATCTCTAAAAGCATTGGGATCCTTGGTGTCGACATCTCTAGTGACGTACAGTTCCGTGGCCACCTCGAAGATAAGGTGAAGCTGGCATCCAAAAAACTCGGTGTGCTCAATAGAGTGAAGCATTACTTCACGCCGGATCAGCGATTAATGCTTTACAAATCGCAAATCCGGCCCCATATGGAGTATTGCTGTCACTTATGGGCGGGAGCACCTAGATACCAGCTTGAACCCTTCGACTCAGTGCAACGACGAGCTATGAGAATTGTCGATGATCCCATGCTTGCAAGCGGTATCGAACCCTTAAGTCTTAGGAGAGATTTTGCCTCACTCTGCGTGTTCTACCGCTTACACAACGGATTGTGCTCAGAGGAATTATTCAATATGATGCCTGCGGCCACTTTCTATCATCGTACGGCTCGCCATCGACAGGGAGTTCACCCTCATACCTTACAGCCTAAATGGTCGCGTACAACGCGGTTTCAGAGATGCTTTCTCCCACGAACACTCAGGTTATGGAATGAGCTCCCTGCCGAGGTTTTCCCGAGAGACTACAGCATGGGGTTCTTCAAAAGGGGGGTAAAGAGGTTTCTTCAGGGTCGGCAACGCGCGCGTAATACCTTTGGTATTGCAGGCGTTCATAGGCTACGGTAACCGCTTACCATCAGGTGGGCCGTATGCTTGTTTGCCACCTCAGTGGTATAAAAAAAAAAATTGAAGTGGTCGCCAATTTTTCTAATTAATATTAGAATCCTTTCCGATCCTATAAAGATGGGGGAAAGAATTGTTAGTAATGCTGACTACCAGTCCCATTGCCAGCAATACAGTATGGACTCTGGAAATGGGAAAGGTCAGGTCGACCACCACGTGACCCCCCTAGAAACCATTGTGCTGAATTCCAGGTATTCATCACGATGTGCTAACTGACCTGCCTTGGGGGGAAAGGGATTGTTAGTAATGGAGACTGAGAATCCCATTGCTAGCAATATACCCAACCAGGTCGACCTTCTTGCGGTTCCCCTGAAAATCATCATGGTTAATTCCTGATGAATTCATCATGATGAGCTAACTGGCCTGTTTTCATTCTCATCTATCACCCTTCACTGGTGCTCCGCCAGCGTATCCCGTTAGCGCAGTCGGAGTTACCATACCATTTTCACCCATCAAAAAAAAAACTGACCTGCTTTTTCATTCTTGCCTATCATCCCTCACTGGTGCCCCGCTAGCGTATACCGTTAGCGTGGCCGGGGTTACCATTCCATTATCATTCATTAAAAAAATATTAAAGGTAACCATAGACAATGATACTGCTTGCTATAAAGCAGTATCATTTTTTTCTCAATTTTCAAAATAAGAATCATAACTTTATCAATATTTACAAGTTAATTCTACCTGGTATACTAGTTCCTAATGCAACAAACACGATGGCTGTAACAGAGTCTCTGATTCCGAGTGTACATCCAAAGTGCGAGGCTACATCACCTATAACTGCGGTCACCAATCCAATGCAGATGATTGACACAACAAAACAAACATAACCGCCTCCGATATCTGTAAAAAAAAAACCTCATTAGCATACAAAACTTTTTTACCGACGATTTGATAAATTTAATAACAATTTAATGAATTGTAAAAACATGAAAGGACCTTTATTTACATAAACGCTTATTTATTTACCTCGTTTTTGATTTAAAAGTGAGTTCATACAGAAAAGCTTATTACTTATACATTTTAATATATTTAAATTTAATTTAGTATACCGATAACTCAATCTCTCTGGGTTTATTTTAAACTAAGTACATACAGTTAATTTTAAACTTTCACGTTGTTTACGCATATTTTAAATACACAGTCGGGAACTAAACGTCGGCAATGAAGAAGCAGGTATGTAGGTACGATTTACTTGTATAGACTTTTACATTGTGTATTTAAAATATAAATTAATCACTATATACAATATCACTATCATCTCTACTACTCATCTGTCTGTCCCTATGTATGCTTAGATCTTGAAAACTACGCAACGGATTTGATTTAATGAATAGTTTTTTTAATAGATAGAGTGAATTAAGAGAAATATTTATATGTATAATACATGTATAATATAAATAGTGTATCAAAGTAAGTTAATATTATGTATAACGAGGAAATACATTGATTAATTTTCTGTTTGTTACGATTTAACTCAAAAACTACTCAACCAATTTTACTGAAAGTAACATCTCCTCGGAGTAACATAGGCTATTATATATTTTCTGTAAAGAACCCGTGCGAAGCCGGGGCGAGTAATTTATAATAGCAAAACAAAATAAACAATTATATTTTTATTCTTAAAAGTTTTGTAAGCATACATTATACAAAAGCTCGACTGGTTTTGGAAACAGTTCGTGATCCTTAGTCGTGAGCGACTGTGACGCGAGCACGAGCCTATTGCGTGCCTCGGCCCACTAAAACTAATCGAGCTTCTTCGATCACACGTAAATTAAACCGGTAGTTATTTTATTAAAATTATACTTTTGACTGCGAAAACAAAGTAATAACTTACCAGTTGGAGGAACGAAAGCAAATATGATTTTCCAAAATAGTGTAACTACATGTAACACGTAGTCAAAACATGAGGGCGGTTCGTCTGGATTATCTGAACCTGAAATATTAATGCTATTAAAGTATTATAAATGCGAAAGTTGGTAAGGATGTTACTCATAGATAAATGAATGGATAGATCTTTTATTTATATATAATGCAAAAACTAACAAATATGTTTGAATTTAATTTTGCTACACGGACAGATTATATCCTAACTTAGTATTAATTCACACGAGAGAAGTCGCAGAATACAGCTAGTATAAATTATCATGTATCGCCAAATCTTTTTATTCTTATGATATCATAAATTTCAATAATATCAAACCTATCAACCAAATTTTTCCACGTCCAGTTTATTTTTCTTTAATTTTTTTCTCCTAAATAATTTTGGCCAACCCGAAAAACCCAAAAACTACCCAGATTGGTAATTATGTTAATGAAACAAAGCGCTATTAGTCAATGCAAAAGATGGAAATCTATACCAAGCTCTCTGGCCAGGATAGTAGATGTAAATAGATTCTGTTCTCCCGTTTAGAGGTGAAAATCATTGTACAATAGCAATAAAAGAAAAAAAGAAAGGTTTATTAAAATTAAAACATCATCGATACAAATTTATTCCTCCGGCATTTCTTTTTTTGCTTTGATATAACTTGGTGTATATTTATACTAATAATATTTAGTGATTCTCAGATTTTTCACTGGGAAATCTGTAATATCCTCGTATAAATTCTCACTATGTATTTTACGCGTGAACGTCAATATTTGTAAGGGTAAAGCAAATATTTGTTCTGAGAATTCAAACATTAATAAAACCCGGAACCTAGCCCGTAAATTCATATAAGCTAGTAACTAGTATATATATTGTTATGTTTTCTAACACATACATGGTACTTATAAGTCATGCAAGTAAACAGTCCAGAAAAGTATATTCTTTATATATATATATATATATATATATATATATATATATATATATATATATATATATATATATATATATATATATATATATATATATTACATACAGTAAAAAAAATACACAGTATAAAATTTAAAAATTAATTATAGAAATCTCTAAAGCAATTTTAATGACTGATATTGTAAAAAAAAAACTAACAAAGACATTGATCTACTGATTCAAATATACACCATACTTTTTTGCTGTATCTTTATGCTACCTGATATCGTTGTGAAACTGTACCGATTTGATTTATTTTACAATCGATAATTGCTCCCATTATCATCTCTTACAATATTTTTCACCATTAAAGTTAGATTTTTAGCAAACAAATGTATCGTATAAAATCATCCGTAACACATTTTTCCAACAAAATGAGAGTGTAGAATATTTGGCTGTGTTGTAATGCTAGAACTAGATGTAACGTAAATTGTACCTGAGCTGGCTGTTAACGCTTCAGTGAACTGTTCTTTCCACGATGACGTGCCAATTATAATAGATGCGTTTGCTCTTTGCACCAGTTTGTCTACCGTATTCTGTTGAGTAGAAAATCCAATAAATAAAATAGAATCAATAATATATTGGTTGGCTGAAGTGAGAAATAGACAATGGTTGCTAAACAAGACATTTTTGCCAATTAATTTCTAGAGTGAGAACTTAACAGTTTTATGTTTAGGTACTTGACATTTTACTTAAAATAATTGACTAATTTTTATTGTATTTTACAAAATCCTTGCAATGTAAACTATGTTTTAGTGTCCTACCGAATTTTCGGTTTCTGTTTCGGTTTCGGCTAGTTTCGGCCAAAAATTCTACTTTCGGACTTAGTTTCGATTTTGGGCAAAATTTATCCGAAACTTTCGGTCGCGCCGAAACTTTGTGTGTGTGTTTGTGTTGTGTGTGTGTGTGTGTCTAACTAAAAGTTGTTTTTTTTTTAAGCTTACTTCCAAGAGTAAATCATAATTTTAACATGTTTTTACATTTAAATATATGTGACATATTTGTTACATACTTTAATTAGTGTTTATTATTACCCTTTAACTATCTGAGTGTTGTAAATAATTGTGTAAAAAATATATAGAATAATATATATAGATTTCAGTATAGAAGAGAAATTTTTTATATGTTTCAGTAAGTTTCGGTTTCGGTTTCGGCCAAAACTGAGACCAAGGCCGAAAGTTCGGTTTGGATTTCAGCTGTAAAACCTGTTTCGGTCTGACACTAGACTATTATATTATATTATTATTATATTGAGATCCTAGAGATATGGGGTTTTTCAAGGAGAGGTTAAAGTTCGCCATAGCTAGAGGGGGAAGGGCATTGATTAGCAATGCCCTACCGTAAAAGACCCAATGTCCAATCTTAAAATAAAAGACACCAAGAAAATTAGATTGATTCGCTTTTTAGAAGTCACTCAATTATAGCTTCTGCCTTACCAAAAAGTTCTTCTGCTTTACCTTAAACTTAGTTCTAATTATGGTCCTGTATTAAGCTGATATCCCTGGTATTGCAGGCATCATAGGCTACAGAACCCGGTTACCAATAGACGAGGTTTTTACTATTTGAGATGGAGAAGGATATAAACTACTTATCTCAGGGGGAAAAGGATTGTTAGTAATGGAGACTAAAAATCCCATTGCAAGCAATATACCCAACCAGGTCGACCTCCTAGTGGTTCCCCCTGGAAACTATAATGGCTAATTCCTGATGAATTCATCATGATGGGCTAACTGGCTTGTTTTAATTCTCATCGATCACCCTTCACTGGTGCTCCGCCAGCGTATCCCATTAGCGCAGGCAGGGTTACCATTCCATTTTCACCAATCATCAAAAAAAAAAAACTACTTATCTCAGTTAAAATTGTGGCTAAAAGTTTATAAATAAAAGTTATGGGGAAAACTTATGGGGACAGTCTATGTTCAGCCGTTGGCAGTTAACGGCTAAGATGACGATAATGATTATAAAAAAACTACCTTAAACTCTTTGCTTTCTTTTATCCTGAGTTGGGCTCGAGTAATTTCACCAGCACGAGGCAGCCCCATCATGGCTACCACAGCTTCCTCTTCAGGTAGTGTCGCTAGATGGTTCACTTCATTGCCACCAGGCACCACCGGATTGTCATCATCTAGTGATGAAAAATATCTATTAATCTATGTTTTATGCATTAAATAACTTTTAATGAGTTAGGAGAAATTATTAGCTCGGTGGAATGATGAAAAGGGGTAACTTAGGTTAATATATTTACACTATTTCGTACATACACTCAATAAATATACACATTCATAAATACTTACTTATAAATAGACATAATAACAATGTTAATATATATATATATATATATATATATATATATATATATATATATATATATATATATATATATATATATATATAAATTACTGCCACTTTTCGTTGTAATTTTATAACTCAACTAATTAAGTTAATGGGGATTTTTGTGTCAAATACAAACTTTTTTTAAGATGAGGATTATGCTGTCAAATTGAAACTTTTTTCAGTGTTGACAGTACAAGCATGTTGTTATGTCATTCATGCGGTCATTTCATTTTGGACGTGCTTCGATTAAAGCAAATTGTCAGTGTTATTGATGTTAATTTTTTATTTTTTTATTTTTTTTACTTTATACGTAGCGAAGCACGTACCGGGCCGCTAGTATTATATATAAATTAATGTTATGTATCATATCTTTGCTATATGGTCCCGGCATAAAATAGACCACCTATTCCTTTCACGTAGATGTCATAAAAGGCGACTATGGTAGCTTAATAGTCGAGATATGAGCAGCAAGATTCCTCTTAAAACATCACCAAAGCCTAACTACAGTTGCCAACTCGCCCATCAAGCGTGGCATCATTGTTTTATTTTCTGTAATATTAACATCTTTTTAAATAGTAATTATTACATATTTTTGCTTCTTCATTCTTCATTCAAACTTCAAAAATCTGTCCCTTATCTGGAGATAAGGGAGACAGATTTTTTCAATCATATTCATTTACATTTACAATCCAAGCATAAAAATAAATTAAAATCAGTTTTAAAATGTACAAATGAAATCTTTCCATATAATATTCTAATAAAGTCGCACCGAAAGGGTTCCTTTTTGGTACATAACAGTAAATAAACAAATCTTGACACTTTTATTAAAGAAGAATATCTTAAAATGAAAGTCGTTGACGTTTTTAATTAAAAAAAAATGAATGTATTTGATTAAAAATTAAAATTAAATAAAATCATTGACGCTTTAAATAAAAAAAAATCTTGAAGCGTTTAATTTTAGAGAACTAAACAAAATCTTAAATATTTTTAAATAAAAAAAAAATAAAGCATTTCAATTTGTCTCTGCGACATCATGAACGTACAGAAATATTTATAAATATCGTCATACAAATTTTCATAATATTTTACCATTTTTCTAATACGTTATAGTAAAATACAGCGCTAAATTATAAACCGTCCATCGGGTCACATTGAAAACTGTAAACTAATATTAATAGGCCACTAGGTGTCGCTACTTTCGTTGGCCTATTTGCCGGCATTCAGTCCGCTACGCTCGTTAGGGAATAAACGAGCCCGCCTACCCATATCTGGGGATAAATGAGAGCGACGTTCACAAACCGAGAGCATTGAAACTTGCAAGATTGCCTGCACCATTCATAAATGTTTTCAGTTATAATCGTTCTTTTTTCAAAAAATACACCAGTCTGTACTTTTGTTTTTTTTTTTTTGTATTTTAATGAATGCCAGTCTTTATTATATTTGATTTAAATAGAAACAAACAAGTACTTTTTACTCAACAAAATGTTGTCAGAGTTCATGACAAAATTTACTATTCTTATTTTAAAATGTAAAATGTACTAATATATTAGATCTTAGACTATATATAATAGATAGAGCGTCACCATAAAAATGCTTCATAAAAACAGTTCAACTCTTTTATCAGGGGGGAAAGGGATTGTTAGCAATGGAGTTCGACATTGCTAGCAATATGCCCTATCAGGTCGACCTCCACGTGGTTCCCCTGGAAACCATCGTGAACAATTCTTGTTGAATTCGTCACGATGCGCTAACTGACCTGCTTCATCTTCACCTATCATCCTTCACTGGTGCCCCGCCGGTGTATACCAATAGCGCGGGTAGGGTTTCCATCCCATTATCACCCATTAAAAAAAAAAAAACTCTTTTATCAATGCTGCGTAAATAGGAATATATAGCATAATTAACATTTATTATTGAATATATATTGTAAGAATTTGGATAAATAATACACACAGGACTGTAAAGTGGCAAGCAAATGTACAAAGGCGAGATTTACTCAGCAAGAGTTCTCTTCCAGCAAACCCAAAGTGGAAACGAGCATCAATCAATCAGTCAAGCTATTTACTTTATAATTAACTATTTTGCAAACTGTTCCCGTGAGTTCTCGTAAATTTGAAGGACTACCGCATTCAACCACCTATAAGTTTTTAACCACCAATTAACAACTTCTGAGGGTCATTTAAATCTATGTAATATACTAGCTACATATCGCGGCTTTCACCGCATAAATCCCAGCTAACATTATAAATGTGAAAGTGAGTTTGTTTGTTACCTCATAGTGCCTTAACAGCTTAACCAATCATGAAATTTAGAGGGAAAGGGATAGTTAATAATGGTGTCTAACAGTCCCATTGCTAGTAATAAAGGATGTATGAGAATACATCCTTTATTACTAGCAATGGGATGAGAATCAGGTGTACCTCCACGCGGTTCTCACTGGAGATCATCGTGGTTGATCAATGCTGTATTGATCACGATGGGCTAACTCACCTTTCATCTTTCACTGGTGCTCCTCCAGCGTATTGCGATAGCGCAGGCATTACATATATATTTTTGTATACATTAGTATTTATATAATAGTGCGCCACCTACCCTTTGTCTTTTTTTCTCAATGTCCTCTACCCAAAGGTTGTCTGGAAGTGATTGCTTAATGATAAGGCCGCCTTTTGTATCACTTCTCATTAATACTTACATTATTTATTATGTTTTATTTAGTGCAATAAATAAATCATTAGCATCCATTAAAAATTCATGAAATCATGAGATGATGAAGGACATTAGCTAAACTTTATCCCGGTCATTGAACTTATCCGGGATAAAGGCTAAATATCAAATATTTCTACTTACTAGCATCCAACACAGCATTACTACTATCAAATATATACTATTTTTGTCACAAACAAACCTTACTTGCAAATGAGGTCCATCCAAAAAAAAATGTAGAGATAATGTGTAAAAAAAAAAGAAAAATTTTAACAAATTAAACAAAAATAAATTTAAACAGTGTATAAATTGATCTATATTATTTTATATTAAAATAAAATAAAAAATCCAATTCGTTCATTCATTTTTGCGCTTTGTTACCTTTTTTGTAACTAATTTACCGATAATATATAACTTCAATATATCGTCATAGTCGTAGAATACTGACGGATCTATATATGTAATATTTGTCAGATCCGTCAGTATTCTACGACTATGACGATATGAGCTTCCTGATACCATTAAGAGACTACCGACTAAACTGTCTTTACAAAAAAAACCTTCACGCTCACTTTTATCGTATACTTTATCCGAGCAGTAAGTACTTTATATTATTCTCAATTACGTGTATAATATAGTATATTTTATACATGTGTAAGTATATTTGTTATTTACAGATATTTATTCGTTTATATATGTAATTTTAGTATGTATGTATATCAATAATTACTAGTACCGCAATCAAGTATTCTGACACTTCTCTGTGGTTGACTGGGAGAGAATGCTTTTAGCATTAAGTCCGCCATATACACATATATGTACTAATGAATAAATAAATAAAAAACTTCAATATTAAATCTAAATAATCTGAAAGTGGCAATACCACTCCCTTTAGTTGAAATAAAATACCTTCTTTTATTAAATCACTTATCAAAAAACCAAACAAATTAAACAATTTTATACTGACGTCTGGCCGTATAGTCTGGCATAGGATAAGCCACCGCTTCCTTTCCTGTGGGTGTCATAAGAGGATAGGCAACAGCATCCCTCTTAAAATACGTCTAAAAGTCTAACTGCGATTGCCAACCCAACCAAGCATGGCAACTATTGACAAAAGTCCCTTTATGGAGGAAATTTATGTTAAGCAGTAGACGATTAACGCTTTAAGCGTTAAGTTAAGCGTTTGACGATAATGATACTTTATACTAAATCGTAATATATTCTGTGGTTATACGCTTAATTAATATATACTATAATAATTACATCTATAATGTAATATATACATTAAATGTAAATTACATCAAATTTAACAACAAGATTTCAAAATAATATATTAAACGTTAACAGCAGAATAATTCGTTTTGTGCGTGTTCAAAATAATTCATAATGGGCGCGACCTTACGCTACAAGAATAAATATTCAGGTAGAACTGACACTCCCGCGGAGTCAATAATAATAACTACATTAGCGCGCTCACGGCCCGCTTCTCTTTAAGTGCTAAATCAGTCAGGGCTTGCAATAGACACCGTAGTTAGAGCGTGCATCTCGCTCGCTCGTAAGTCTACCGCGTGAGTTACATCGCGTCGTAAAATGCGAATGAGTTTGTGACAACCCTCCCAAATTATTCGGGCTCTTGGCGGTATCGTCGCATTCATAAAGAAAAGTTATGTGTGTCTATTCTATTCGTTTTATGTATTCTTATGATTATGCTATGCTCACAATTCGCTTATCTCTTTTCAAATGGTTTTTTTACGCTATATCTTCGCAAATTTTGAACCGATTTGACGATTCTTTTTGTAATTGAAACTGTTTATTTTGACGCTGTTTAGTGTGGCGTGTAATTTCAGCATAGAGAGGCCACCTATTCCGTTTCCGTGGGTGTAGTAAGAGATGACAAAGAGAATTTAAAGGTCGAGGAAGGGACAGCAGTGTTCCTCTTAGAATATCACCAAAGCCTACCTGGGGTGCCAATTCGCCTGCCAAGCGTGGCAACTACTGGCAAAACCCCTCTTTTGGGGGAGGCCTATGTTCAGCAGTGAACAGTAGATGGCTGATATAATGATGATAATGATTCTCATGTCAATACCA